ACTGTATACATGTCAGATCACTATAATGGAGTATAAGGGAGCTGGGATATATATTACTGTATACATGTCATCATCACTATAATGGAGTACAGGGGAGCTGGGATATACATACTGTATATATGTCATATCACTATAATGGAGTACAGGGGAGCTGGGATATACATACTGTATACATGTCATATCACTATAATGGAGTACAGGGGAGCGGGATATACATTACTGTATACATATCATATCACTATAATGGAGTACAGGGGAGCTTGGAATACATTACTGTATACATGTCATATCACTATAATGGGGTACAGGGGTGCTGGGATATACATACTGTATACATGTCATATTACTATAATGGAGTACAGGAGAGCTGGGATATACATTACTGTATACATGTCATATCACTAAAATGGAGTACAGGAGAGCTGGGATATACATTACTGTATACATGTCATATCACTATAATGGAGTACAGGGGGGCTGGGATATACATTACTGTATACATGTCATATCACTATAATGGAGTACAGGGGGGCTGGGATATACATTACTGTATACATGTCATATCACTATAATGGAGTACAGGGGAGGGGATATACATTACTGTATACATGTCATATCACTATAATGGAGTACAGGGGAGCTGGGATATACATACTGTATACATGTCATCACTATAATGGAGTACAGGGGAGCTGGGATATGCATTACTGTATACATGTCATATCACTATAATGGAGTACAGGGGGGCTGGGATATACATTACTGTATACATGTCATATCACTATAATGGAGTACAGGGGAGGGGGGATATACTTTACTGTGTACACGTCATATCACTATAATGGAGTACAGGGGGGCTGGGATATACATACTGTATACATGTCATATCACTATAATGGAGTACAGGGGAGCTGGGATATACATTACTGTGTACAGGTCAGATCACTATAATGGAGTACAGGGGAGCTGGGGATATAATACTGTATACATGTCAGATCACTATAATGGAGTATAGGGGGGGGGGGGGGTATACATTACTGTATACATGTCAGATCACTATAATGGAGTACAGGGGAGCTGGGATATACACATACTATATACATGTGCCATATCACTATAATGGAGTACAGGAGAGCTGGGATATACATTACTGTATACATGTCATATCACTAAAATGGAGTACAGGGGAGCTGGGATATACATTACTGTATACATGTCATATCACTATAATGGAGTACAGAGGGGCTGGGATATACATTACTGTATACATGTCATATCACTATAATGGAGTACAGGGGGGCTGGGATATACATTACTGTATACATGTCATATCACTATAATGGAGTACAGGAGAGCTGGGATATACATTACTGTATACATGTCATATCACTAAAATGGAGTACAGGGGAGCTGGGATATACATTACTGTATACATGTCATATCACTATAATGGAGTACAGGGGCTGGGATATACATTACTGTATACATGTCATATCACTATAATGGAGTACAGGGGGGCTGGGATATACATTACTGTATACATGTCATATCACTATAATGGAGTACAGGGGAGGGGGGATATACATTACTGTATACACGTCATATCACTATAATGGAGTACAGGGGGGCTGGGATATACATACTGTATACATGTCATATCACTATAATGGGGTACAGGGGAGCTGGGATATACATTACTGTATACATGTCATATCACTATAATGGAGTACAGGGGAGGGGGATATACATTACTGTATACATGTCATATCACTATAATGGAGTACAGGGGAGCTGGGGATATACATACTGTATACATGTCATATCACTATAATGGAGTACAGGGGAGCTGGGATATGCATTACTGTATACATGTCATATCACTATAATGGAGTACAGGGGGGCTTGGATATACATTACTGTATACATGTCATATCACTATAATGGAGTACAGGGGAGGGGGGATATACATTACTGTGTACACATCATATCACTATAATGGAGTACAGGGGGGCTGGGATATACATACTGTATACATGTCATATCACTATAATGGAGTACAGGGGAGCTGGGATATACATTACTGTATATATGTCATATCACTATAATGGAGTACAGGAGAGCTGGGATATACATCACTGTATACATGTCATCACTATAATGGAGTACAGGGGAGCTGGGATATACATTACTGTATACATGTCATATCACTATAATGGAGTACAGGGGAGCTGGGATATACATTACTGTGTACATGTCATCACTATAATGGAGTACAGGGGAGCTGCGATATACATTACTGTATACATGTCATCACTATAATGGAGTACAGGGGAGCTGGGATATACATTACTGTGTACATGTCATATCACTATAATGGAGTACAGGGGAGCTGGGATATACATTACTGTGTACATGTCAGATCACTATAATGGAGTACAGGGGAGCTGGGATATACATACTGTATACATGTCATCACTATAATGGAGTACAGGGGAGCTGGGATATACATTACTGTGTACATGTCATATCACTATAATGGAGTACAGGGGAGCTGGGATATACATTACTGTATACATGTCAGATCACTATAATGGAGTACAGGGGAGGGGGGATATACATTACTGTATACATATCATATCACTATAATGGAGTACAGGGGAGCTTGGATATACATTACTGTATACATGTCATCACTATAATGGGGTACAGGGGTGCTGGGATATACATACTGTATACATGTCATATCACTATAATGGAGTACAGGAGAGCTGGGATATACATTACTGTATACATGTCATATCACTAAAATGGAGTACAGGAGAGCTGGGATATACATTACTGTATACATGTCATATCACTATAATGGAGTACAGGGGGGCTGGGATATACATTACTGTATACATGTCATATCACTATAATGGAGTACAGGGGAGGGGGGATATACATTACTGTGTACACGTCATATCAGTATAATGGAGTACAGGGGGGCTGGGATATACATTACTGTATACATGTCATATCACTATAATGGAGTACAGGGGTCTGGGATATACATTACTGTATACATGTCATATCACTATAATGGAGTACAGGGGAGCCGGGATATACATTACTGTATACATGTCATATCACTATAATGGAGTACAGGGGAGCTGGGATATACATTACTGTATACATGTCATATCACTATAATGGAGTACAGGGGAGCTGGGATATGCATTACTGTATACATGTCATATCACTATAATGGAGTACAGGGGAGGGGATATACATATTACTGTCATATCACTATAATGGAGTACAGGGGAGCTGGGATATGCATTACTGTATACATGTCATATCACTATAATGGAGTACAGGGGAGGGGGATAGTACACGTCATATCACTATAATGGAGTACAGGGGGGCTGGGATATACATTACTGTATACATGTCATATCACTATAATGGAGTACAGGGGAGCTGGGATATACATTACTGTATACATGTCATATCACTATAATGGAGTACAGGGGAGCTGGGATATATACATTACATTATACATGTCATATCACTATAATGGAGTACAGGGGAGCTGGGATATACATTACATTATACATGTCATATCACTATAATGGAGTACAGGGGAGCTGGGATATACATTACTGTATACATGTCATATCACTATAATGGAGTACAGGGGGAGCTGGGATATACATTACTGTATACATGTCATATCACTATAATGGAGTACAGGGGAGCTGGGATATACATTACTGTATACATGTCATATCACTATAATGGAGTACAGGGGAGCTGGGATATACATTACTGTATACATGTCATATCACTATAATGGAGTACAGGGGAGCTGGGATATACATTACTGAGTAATGTATATCCCAGCTCCCCGTAGTACTCCATTATAGTGATAGGACATGTTCTATACAGTACTTACTGTCCCCCCGAGTCCCCCGCGGTGCTGGAGAGGGTGTCTCCTCTCAGCGGAGGAGAGCGGACCTCTCCTGCACCTGTCCCCTCGGTGGCGGTTCCGTAGAAGCCGGAAACCGTAAGTTGTAAACCGCAACTCGGCTTCACAATGAGGCTTGGAGCGCAGGTGCAGTCACTCCATGCTTCATCTGTGCTCACTGCTCGCAGCCGCTCGCCACAGAGGAATTTCTCCTCACATTTGGCAAGTGGCTTTTACAAGCCCTGCCTTAAAGAATATGTAAATCCAACATTTCATATTCCTGATATGTGCCTGCTGCACCATGTACTTGTATGGAAAAATGTCCTGTTCTGTTTGTATTGCTTTATTTGTGTGAAATCTCTGGCGTTCCTGACAGTCCCTCTGCTTTCCTATTAAACACTGACCACCCTAGGCATGACAGCACAGCATGGTCAGTTCTTTAGCTATGATGGGAACTCAGCCTTTTCTTCTCCAATGATCAGACTTGTCCTGACACCCCCCACAGCCATTCACTAAGAAGATTAGTGTGATGCTGTTACTCCACCCCCAGATCTCTAGGCTCTTTATTCAGCTGAGAAGAGAGGGTATGTGATCACTTTATAAAAAAAGGGAGGAAAAGTTATTTATAATTCTGTGAATTTCCTGCAAAACGTGTCGAATAGAGTGATCTACGGAGATTCTACAATTTTGTTCATATAATCTACTAATGTTCCTCTATATTACTTTTAAAACTGTATAGTTGCTTTTAAACATGGTTACCATTGTATGCTGCACCCACTGGAGATATAGTTAAACTGTTACTAAACTCAGGACCCTGCATTCACTATATCTGGTCTCCCACAGTACACAGAACATGGCAGTGCAATTATTTTAGTAAATATAAACTGCTAAATACCTTTTCTCATCAGCAGTTAAATCAGTCTTGTGACTTCTATCAGTGTTCAGCAGAGAGCACTGGTTAAAGCTTGTAGGAGTTTTCTTTCTGCTCTAGGAGGATGCAAAACCCCGGACCCTCTGTCTGGACAGTGCTGATTGGCCCTGTGCTGATCATATGCACTCTACCATTAAAAAAAAAACCTCTCTAGCAATGCACACCAAACTGAGCATGTGCACAATGGCTACATTTCAGTCTGTCTTATCAGGAGATAAGACATAGGCATTTGAACAAGAGGAGGAGCAGAGAAGTCAGGATCAAACAGCCTTTTTACACAATGCAGAGGATTAACCCCTTAGGTTCCACAGTGAGTATAACAAGCATGCTTTACTGCATATATAGACTGATTTTACTGTTGTGGGTTTAGTAACACTTTAAAATCCTCTTCCAATATATGCAGTTTATAACCCTCCCTTACTCTATCCAAAATGAAATAAGTTTTGCCTTTAGTTCTACTGCTAAGGTATGTGCATTAAAGTACAACTAAAGGCGAAACTTTTTTTTCATTTTTGGATAGAGTGTAGATGGAATAGAACCTGTCAGTTTTTATTCCTGTGTCCCCGTTAGGGAGGTTCGCCCTCTCCATTTGTCCTGTTTACTGTTATCATCAAAAGTGAAAGAAAACCCCAGTTTGGGTTGTCCACAGAACAGTTATAGAGGGAAGCTACCTATTTGGCAACCTGAAGGGCCGCAAGAGATTCCCTTTTTTTTAAAGGGATTTCCTCTCACTTTCTGTTTTGCGTATTTTGACAATTGTGCGCATAGAGACCTGGACACTGGCAGCCATTTTGTCTCCTGATCCTCCCTCCTCCCTTTTGAATGGAATGTGAGTCTGTAAGTGAACTGGGTCAAAAGTGCTTATGCACAGCTGGATAAGCTCCATGGCTGTAAATCCCTAATTAGCCTGGTCTTCTGGAAAAACACTTTCCTCTGCCCGTTCGTAAAACCATAACTCAGTCGGTCATGACCTGTCCATGACCATGTCCATGACCATGACCATTAGAGCAGAGTGTGCCATAAAACGTACATTCCACATGAGTCATTTTTCACACAAATTCATAAACTTCAGCAGGAACTGGGCACATTGATATAAAGTATATATTTGGATAGGTCATTTTAATATAAGTCGCATGACACCTTACATCCCTATGTAGCACCTTCAAGAGGGTAGAAAGCAATATCTGTTATCTGGAGTGGCAGGATCTGCTAAAGTTTGGTATCTGTGCAAGCAGAATATAATTCTAAATATTAATCTGCCAGTTGCTAGGAAGCAACCTGTACATATTGAAGGTTATTGACCGTAGTATGAACTTGTAAGGGATTTGGTCCTAACCTTTGTCACCGCCTAACATCCATCCCCAAATGCGTTGATTGGCTGTTTGCTCTCAGGAAACACCCCTTTGAGATAATATAAAAAAGACTGCCAGCTTGGAGAAAAGGTAGATCTCCCTTTAACATCAATCAGGAACCATCCTGAGAGCAAATGCAACCTTTTGTTCGGACGATTGGACTCTGCTCTCAAACCAAGGACTTTCACAAGTATTCTGCCTTCTGAAACTTCTTTCTTTTATTTCTCTGTTGTTTTATTACTCTCTTTATATATATACTTGTTACATCTTTTTCTGTAAATATTTTAATTGCACCATTTTGACCTTTTAATAATAAATCCTATTTTCTGAAAAGTGTTGAACTGTTTCTAAAGCTTTTAATGCAAACTAAAGAATCCCTGTCTCTGAAGAGTGCTACTGTATGTGATAATCCTCTGAATACATCTGTCTGTGGTGACAGGGTGTATTACAGACGCTTATATTCATATCATAGTGTTACTGCTAAGATTTGTGAGTTTCCTCCTTCTCTGTAAAAAGGTGGTGGTGGCAGTGTGAAGGGTTAATTGCGTAATTAACCTGACCCAGTAACAATCGCTCTCAGGCTGCTGGCACATAGATTGTGGTCCCGTGAGCTGGAAAATCTTTGTGCAGGGCGCAGCTGAGAGTGGCATTGTTACGCACGTGACAGCACGTTGCAAGATTGACTGGTCCTTCGGTCACAAGTTGGTGAGAAGGGCTGGGGTCTGATGCCACGCAACCATCACAGGTATGTAACAGGAAGTGAATGGAAATCTTTCCAATGAGTCACATATGGCAAAAAAAAACCCCCATCTGGCAGGGGTTATAACCCTCCCTTAATCTATCCAAAACATGGAAAAAAAGTTTAGCCTATAGTTCTACTTTTATGTTATGTACATTAACCACTTGCCGACCGCAGATAGCCGAATGACAGCTACACTGTGGCCGGCCAGTTCTGGGAGGACGTCATATGACTTCCTCCCAGAACACACCCTCCTGTGCGCCCCCTGTGGGAGCGCACCTGGCAACCTCCGTGACAGCTGTGTCCTACACACACAGCTGATCACATGATGTGGTAAAAGGCCAATCACAGCAGCCTTTTACCACGTGATCAGTTGTGTCCAATGACACAGATCAACGGAAAATGCAGTTGCCGGTTATCGGTTGCACTTTCCTCACACTTTTCCAACCGGCAATTGTCAGAGAATGGATTGGCACTGATCATCAGTGCCATAATAATCAGTGCCCAGCAGTGCCACCCATCTGTGCCCAGCAGTGCCGCCCACAAGTGCCCAGCAGTGCCACCCACCTGTGCCCAGCAGTTCCGCCAATCAGTGCCCAGACATGCTGCCAGTCACTGCTGTCAGTCAGTGCCACCCATCAGTGCCACCTATCAGTGCCCAACAGTGCTGCCTATCACTGCAGCCTCATCAACGTACATCAGTCTGCAAACTTTTATAATAGAAACAAAGAAAAACTTTTTTTTTTTCAAAATTTTTGCTTTTTTTTGTTTATAGCACAAAAAATCACACACCCAGAGGTGAGTGCATACCACCAAAAGAAAGCTCTATTTGTGTGGAAAAAATGATACAAATTTCATATGGGTACAGTGTTGCATGACCGCGAAATTGTCATTCAAAGTGCAACAGCACTGAAAATTGGACTGGGCAGGAAGGGGGTACAAGTGCCTGGTAGGCTAGTGGGTAATCTATCCAAAATGTGGAAAATAAAGTTTTGCCTATAGTTCTGCTTTGATGTTATGTACATTAATGGAGGAAAGAAGGTACAGTAAGTGAATGGACTGAATGTGGCACACACTATGACAGGGAGGATACAGACGCACACAGGTACAGTTAGGTAAAGAATGACACAGGAAGTGACCACAGACAGGAACATACAGACACAGGTAGGTGTTCTCACATGGGGACGGAGAGACACAGGTAGGTACTATACAGAGAGAGACCTCCGTGTGTGTGTATAGGCAGCTGTGTGAGAGAACAATCAAAGCACACATCACAGACAAAGCAGCCAGCACTCACCTCAGGAGACCTGACTGTGCTGCTGCCGAGATTCCAGTCAGAAAACAGCACTTGCACAGCATAATAGCTCCACCCACACCCAGCTTCCAGTCAGCGTGTGGCGGTAAAAGTTCCTCCCTCCCCAACCTCCAGAGCTGCCAATCAGAGTGCAGCACTATTGGCTCCGCCGCCTCCCCTGAGCTTCCAGGCAGAACAGACGTATAGCACTATAGGCTCCGCCCCCCAGAGTTTCCTGTGAGAATACAGCTGTGTAAAGCACTATAGACTCCGCCCCCCCGGAGTTTTCTGTGAGAACACAAACGTGTAAAGCACTATAGGCTCCGCCCCCAGAGATTCCTGTGAGAACAGACGTGTAAAGAACTACAGGCTCCGCCCCCTGGAGTTTCCTGTGAGAACACAGACGTGTACAGCACTATAGCCTCCGCCCCCTGGAGTTTCCTGTGAGAACACAGACGTGTAAAGCACTATAGGCTCCGCCTCCCTGGAGTTTCCTTTGAGAACACAAACGTGTAAAGCACTATAGGCTCTGCCCCCAGAGTTTCCTGTGAGAACACAAACGTGTGAAGCACTATAGGCTCCACCCCCATAGTTTCCTGTGAGAACAGACGTGTAAAGCACTATAGGCTCCGCCCTCAAGAGTTTCCTGTGAGAACACAAACGTGTAAAGCACTATAGGCTCCGCCCCCAAGAGTTTCCTGTGAGAACAGATGTGTAAAACACTATAGGCTCCACCCCCCGGTGTTTCCTGTGAGAAACACAAACGCGTAAAGCACTATAGGCTCCGCCCCCCAGAGTTTCCTGTGAGAACACAAACGCGTAAAGCACTCTAGGCTCCGCCCCCGGAGTTTCCTGTGAGAACACAAACGCGTAAAGCACTATAGGCTCCGCCCCCGGAGTTTCCTGTGAGAACAGACGTGTAAAGCACTAGAGGCTCCGCCCCTTACAATTAGAGTAAAGCAGATGTGCAGTAGTTTAGTCTCCACCTCGTGCCTCCAGGTACCGTGTCAGGACTTTTCTGCCCTTTTTACCTCATTAGTAAAGCAGCCGTGGCTAGTGATGTGTTCAGAGATACCAACTGCTTTTATTTACCCTATGGCTGTCAGAGCCATTTTTTTTTTGTAGCACACAGTGCTAATCCACTTGCTGTCTGACATTTCTCTCCTGTTGGAGAACATTACCTAGTTCTCCAAGCATTATTTATTTTCTAAAAGCAGTGACCCTGGAGAAAAAAAAATGGTGGGTCTTGCAATTTTTTAATGTCACACAATAATCATGAAGTGTGGTTTATCAAATGCAAATTTTCAGAAAAAATACAATTTAACTACTTCCCAACCACGCTATAGCCGAAAGACGACTACAGCGCGGTTGTCTAGTTGTGGGAGCCCTTGTGACATTTCTCTTCCATGTGGTGCCATTGCTGACAGCATGAAGTGGGAGGGGCTTTCTTTGTTAAGTAACGCCCTTTTACATCTGTTTAATGTATAATTAGACTCACCTGTAGTTGAATTCTTATTAATTAAAATTTTGTTGTCTAAAATTTAGCTTTTCTCCTAAGATTTTCATTGGGGTGTATTCATTTTTGCAACATTTGAATGAATTTGTTAGGAAAAATACTTCTTTGTGTGTGCAAATTAACAAATCTTGTTTGCGATAATACGGCAGGCATTCTGACACTAACTGACGCTGGAGGGAACTGACTAACTGCTACTGACGTCTCCAGTGACACTAATACAGTGGACAGTGCTAATAAAAGCATTGACACTGTACTAATGACACTGGGCTGGAATTGGTTAACATCTGAAGCAATCAAATGGCTAAGTGTGTTAGGGAGTGATTTAGCTTTGAACATTGTGGTGTTTTACAAGGGGATGTGCTGGTTTTTGTCTCTCTGCTTTGCAGAGAAATTAAAAAAAACAGCACCTCCCTGCTGACAGGAGAGAGATCTGTGT